ATGGATCAGGACAAAAAAAGAGGGGGTCTTTTTTCCTGAAACTTTCCGAATCTCTTTACACAGAGGGGACACATGTTTATGTAGAAAAGACATAAACAAATTGGTTTGCATAATAGGTGACCTATAAGTACTTTTTTTTTTTTTGAACTGTTTATTTTCCTTTTAACAAAACAAGACAAGACATATCCTGACATAGGACGTTTTCATTAAAATGAAAGGATGATTACACAACAAAGCAAAGTATGGTTAATATTGAAATAAAGCAAATCTAGTATAAATTGAAATAATGAAGTAAATAATATAAATAAATGTAAACTGGGATATAAAAATAAATAAAGTAAAATCAAATAAATATTAATGAAAGCATTTTACACAGGGACTGACATCTTTGGCACAGCAGGATCAGTTACACAGGGACTTTTCCCCTAGTATTCATCTAAAGTTCGGTTCAGTTTCAACAACCCTCTTCAACCAGCGATACATCCAGATATATTTTAACACATTTCCATCTTTTGGGTAAAAGTTTTTCAATTTTTTTCTCCTGGCAGGCTCCGCCGTCAATTTTTTTTGCAAATGCGTGGAGACTTGTTTAAGTCTTGTGGCTTCCACTGAATGATTTTTTGTCCGGAGATTTTTTTTTTGGCATTTTTTCGCAGTTCAGTTATAAATCTTTTTGGGCAATTAATCAACAGTAAATCCCGTAATAATGTACCCCCTCGTTGGTCCTGAATCGTAAATGTGCTGTAGGTTTTTATAGCCCCGAGCAAGAACAACATGGCTGTTCCAGAGGAACAGTCCATTTCCGCAGGGATATTGTTTAATCTCCTCTTGAACAGATTTTCTCAAAATTCCTTCAATTATGGGCATCCCAAAGATATGTGTTAATGATCCCCTATTTTTCCGGCATTTTTCCTCCCGCAACATAAATGCGGACTGAATTGGTCCTCTGTACATATTTTACGAAATTCAAAAGGAGTTGTTAAAAAAAAAAATCTGATTTTCAGCTTCCAATCACTTCTTTCGCCATAACTTGACTATTATTTCGCTTTATCTGAACTGCCCACACATAAGCTTTCGCCAGAATGCATCTTCGATTAAAATGTTTAGTTCGCATTTCCCATTTTATCTTTAATATTCGCAGGTATGTTTGGGATTGCTTTCTCTTTCCTTGTGGCTTGTAATATATGTCCCTTTATCTGGAAAGCTACGCTATACAAATCATTTTTGACCTGGAGCCCATATTGTTCTTTGAAGTTGGAGAAGGATTTTGACATCTCTTCGCATCAAACATTTGGTTTAACTTTGATGAGACCTTTTTCCGGCCCATCTGATTAAACGCTCCATCGCCTTTATAGATGGAAGAAAACTTCTTATATTGGGCCCTATACATGGCATGGCTCTTTGACATTTATTCTGGGCTCCTGAACATTTTTTTTTAACTTGCTGTCTACCAACTCAGGGGCAGGGTTTATGCCTTTTATCATTCGTTCGTCAATCTAACTTTTGGACAGATTTTGATATCAATAAAAGCCGAACTGATGTAACGACACACCTTGAGTTTGCACTCTGCTCAATCTGTGCCCATCCCGTTTTCCTCGTGCCTTTTATCTAATCCCAGGGCCCACTTATGTGCCGTTAAGCGAGCAAGCCCGCAATTATAATATTTGTCAAATTTGCAGGGGCCTAAGCCTCCCTTTCTCTTTTGGGTAGAAAAAGAGTTTTTTTAAGTCTTACTCTGGGTCTCTTATTCCCAAAAATAAACTTAGATATAACAAGTCTATTTAACATTGATTAAAAATGGAGGCTGGAATTCCCACGGGAAAGCGGATTGAATAGGCAAGAATTAATCGAGGGAGTAGCGTCATTCTTACCAGTCCTCTACGCCTTCCGCGAATAGCGACCAGTTTATCAATGTCGATTCTTCTTATTAATGTTTTCATAGTTTTTTAGCCTTCACAATAAATTGCATAGGAGGTGGTGAGTAATAAAATCCTAGATACTCTAAACGAAAACCCCTGCTTTGGACCAACAGTAAAGAAACATCCCTTGTTCTTTAATTCGTGTAGGCCAACTCCGCTGTTAGCATCATTGCATCTGATTTAATTGGATTAATTTTTTGTAATCCAGAATTGCCCATACTTAGACGAAGCCACCGTGCATAAAGCCTGGAATAGAAGATAGGGGTTGTTTTTAATAAAGCGTAAAAATGATTCATCTGGCAAATAAGAGATATTTTTATGTTATTGACCCTCCCTCGTCCGCCTATTCCTTGAATCTGTTTATTTTGGCATATAGGCCTCCGCCTCAAGGGGTTCAAAAACCGAGTAAGAAAAAGAAGAGGTGCACATTTTGAGTTCGGGCCCTGCGCTCACCCCCCTCTCTACTTTTAAAAAAAATCTAAACAATGCCATTTTATCTTTACCCGGACTTTACTCTTAATTATTGACTTTAGGACTCCTTATAACAAACTAATCCATGTAGTGAAACATTTTTTCTCCAAAACCCATTTTCCAATAATGTTTTGTATTAAGAAAATAGCCAGTCAACTCTAATCAAAATGCTTTCCTGCAGCATCTAGGCTGAGAAGGCATTGAAGTTTGTTTATCTTGTGGGCCGGCTATTGACTGAAGGTTTAACAGCTCTTTCCTTACATTATTTTGGTCCCCTTGACGACCTTGAAATAAAATCGCTGATCTGGTTTTTATCAACTTCTTTTAAATGATCGTTTCATTAGGAGACGCAGGACTGTGGTCTGAGATTGTTTATTGGTCTCAATTAACACAGCTCTTTTATGCCGGTATGGGGTAATCCGCTTTTTTGAGCACTAAACAGTAATCTATTTTCTTGAATAAACTTCCATTGTACATGGGACAGTGAACGTAAAGTCCTTTTGTCACTTGGGTGTAGGCGTCGCCAGATATCAACTTAATCGCCAGCTTCCTTTCATCATGTTTTTAAGGACATTTCCTGGACATTTTTAAGGCAGGTTTTCTTATTGGTTTAAGGGTTTGAATCTTCCATTTGTTTTTGTTTCAATGTGCAATTGATCCCCGTATGATTTCAGTTTATTCCCTCTCTCATTATCTGCCCTAGGGCTGGCACTCTTTTAAACAAAAAAAAAATTTGGCAGTCGCCTTGCATTTGGTTGCATACCATTTAGATAAGTTATTTTTAGGCCAGCTATTGTTTCCAATCGCATAACATAGCAACCCTCAATATCTGGAGGAGCTTCTCATTGTTTATAGTTAATACCTGGATTTTTTTTGTTTATTAAACATAGCTACTCTCGTTTTT